TGATAAGTAAACGTTAGTTTACCATAATTTGTTCATGTTCGTTGTAGACAGCGTAAGGTTTTGCAAATGGGATAAATGTGTTGTCTAGCTCCTTTGTAGTGCTCATACAATTTTTTGCTGTATATGATTTGTAACATTTTTATGTAGAAGACTTGATCAGCCCAAATCATATTATATCTTTCAAATAGAGGTGCTGCCCTCAAGTTAGGGTAATTTTTTTGGTGTTTGCAGTACAGAGAGAGAACTCTTTTCTATAAAAGTAGGAGTTTATTATACTTAGTTTTAGTCGTTTTTAGGCGTTCTCCGAACCAGAGCTCCATAGCAAAGCTCTGAATAAAAAAGGCAGTTGTATAGCTGTTGTTTCAACCATAGAAGAAACAACAGCTTCGTGTTGCAAGCGAAGTTCACGTACGGAAGAATTGCATCCCACGTTCTGTGTTCGACAGCAACGTACATGGCCAGGATATCGGCAATGGTCTTTTTAAGACGTTTGGTGAGGCCATTTCTCTGTGCATGGTAGGTGGTCGTCTGGTGGTGACTTGTGTCGCTGTACCTCAGGATCGCCAGAGTTAAGTCTGCCATAAAGGCTGTACCTTTGTCTGTAATGAGGACTCCTGGAGCTCCATGACATGGAAGGATGTTCTCGATGAAGCACTTCGCTACCTCAGCAGCACTGCCTTTGGGCAGGGCCCTTGTCTTGGCCTAATGCGTGAGGTAGTCAGTAGCTACAGCGACCCACTCATTTTCAGAATTCGACATTGGGAGCAGCCCAGTAAGTCCATGCCGATTTGCTGGAATCGCTGGCTAGGTGGCTCGATGGGCGGGAGAAGTCCGGCTGGCCTAGTCGGCGGTGTCTTTCGTCGCCGACAGTCTCGGCATTTCCTGACATAACAAGTAATGTTGGCGGCAAGTCCTGACCAGTCGTACTTTTTGCAGCGAAAGCTGTTATGATATCAGAACATGGGTCACGCGCAGGGCCGCCCCGCCGCGGTGGTCTAGTGGCTAAGGTACTCCGTTGCTGACCCGCAGGTCGTGGGATCAAATCCCGGCTGCGGCGGCTGCATTTCCAATGGAGGCGGAAATGTTGTAGGCCCGTGTGCTCAGATTTGGGTGCACGTTAAAGAACCCTAGGTGGTCGAAATTTCTGGAGACGTCCACTACGGCGTCTCTCATAATCATATGGTGGTTTTGGGATGTTAAACCCCACATATCAATCAATGCACAGCTCCGTAGTTGTCCGCCGCCGCTGGTGCCTGTAACCAGTATCAAAAGAAAAAACTCAGTTAATAAAAAACACAAATGACACAATGGGATTCAAACCCGGGTCTGCTGCATGCCAGCCCAGTATTCCATCACTCAGCCACGTCAGTGGTTGGAACTTGTTTCTAAACTGGCATCACAGGAACAGACAGTGGTCACACAATGCGAATTGCGCATCTAGTGGATCGTCCAGTGCTTCAACCCATTAAAAAATTCTTTCTTGATTATTTATTAACTGTGGCGCATAACCACTTCAGGCATAATTCATCATCTGCAGCCGTTGCATAAAAAATTGAACAAAATTCCCAACAAGTTTTCAGCGGACACCACGCTTCTCAGAAGAATGGCGAAAACGAGCATAGTGAATATTGACCTACTTCACAAAAATTATTATTTATACCATAGTGGGTACCCAGCAGTGTGCTTGTAGCAGTTACCCAAAAAGTGTTTGGAGAAGGCTCTTAATGATCGCTCTTCTAGCTTTCACTGTGACTGTGCTGCACGTTCTGCGCAGGCCTGGCCTTTTTTTGTATCCTCGCGAGCGTGCAGGAAACACCGAGGTGTACAATCATTGGGTCGTCGTGTAGGGCCACAAGTTCTTCTGGTCTCACTGCTAAAGGAACCACAAGAAAGTGTTTGACTTGAGAAGGGTAGAGAAGTTCTTTTTTAAGAGAACTCCATTTCGCAGGAAGGACTTCAGTCCTCTTTAGAAAACCTTCGGAATAGTCATGCTGTTTACACTCGAGGTATTCCACAATGCTCTTAAGTTCCGGGTCAGCTCGCTGTTGCTCGGCAAAGTTGCCAGCAGGTATCATTCCCAAGATGCCATTGTCATCCAGGTCGTTGGGCAGCAGTGGGTCGACAGGAGCACGAGACAGGCAGACAGTGTCAGAGTGTTTTCTTCAAGACTTGTAAACGAGGGTCACATTGAATTCTTGAAATCTGAGGCTCCACCATGCGAGATAACCCGAAGGGTTTTTCAAGTTAGCTAGCCAACACAAGGTATGGTGGTCGCTCGCAACTTTGAGAGGCCTGCCGTAGAGGTAGGGCAAAACTTCAATGTAGCCCAGATGATGGCAAGACCACTACCTCCTCTATAATCTTACGACCTGTTCCTAGGCGCCAGCCCTACGAAGACGTATGGAGCGTAAACTTGGAGCATAGGGAGCATGAATGCCGCCACGACTTACCTTCATTGGAGACCCACGATCATTGTAATGCACTCAAGTGCGTGTGTTCCTTTCGTGTTGTTTTCTTTTTGTTTCTAATGTGTGTATCAAGTCATTTACAGATTAAACATCTCGAAGCAACTTTCTAGCTGTGAAAAGCCCCATAGTGGTTGGCTCCGGGATGTTCACTACCAAACCTCAATATCTGCGTGAGCGCTTTTGCGTCTCCATCTAAGCGCATGCGGCCAAAGAGGAACTATATGCAATACTATCCTGGGTGTCTCAAACACCCTGGATAGACGAACTGCTCGTGTTGTTCAACTCTTTTCTTGAAATCATCGTTTTATCATTGTACTGGTTGTCACAATCGTGGTAACCAATGGCGTAAACATGACTGAAAAATTTCTCTCCGTCTTTTCCCCGTCATGACCGGGAAAGTTCCCCCTGTCTTATCAGGAAAATTTCCGCTCGGAAACTTGTCTTTCATGTCAACCAAGGTATTTCTTAGCTTCCATGTCAGTGCATATGCTAATTTGACATCTGTTGCTTTATATCACTAAGCATATCTGACCACCACAACATTATTCACGTAAGTAAATTTGTGCATGTTTGTCTTGGCAATGATTTCGGCCGACTGGAAGGCCTTCTGGTTAGGCTATAAATGCCATCAGAAGCGGCTTGTCAGGCTGTGTCATGACTTCATTGTTATTATTATTACTAATATTATTATTGGTGATGCTATTACAAACGTTCTTGGCTATGCACTTATTGCCGGTAGCTCATGTTTCAACTGTAGCATTGGGTCACTGTAGCTAAATTTCTCACTTCAGTTTTATGAGCTTATGTTTTAAATCTGTGATTATTTTTTAGCCTCACAAACACAGAAGAGTACTTAAATGAAGGTAACGTGCCGGCATCCATGATTCATCTATGGAATTGAGGAAGCTGTTTCGACCTAACAGATTCCTTGTTGCCACCACATATTTTTAAAACATCGGCTCTTTAAGCGTCACTCCCAGTTTTCATTGGAGGTGTGTGAGGACTTTCCTCGTGCTCCAAGGGTCAGAGCCCATAGAAATTATGTGCTTGTCATGAAAAAGAAGAGAAAATTTCGCAGCAAATCTTCGTACTTGTGACATTGTCGTTAGTCGCTGTCAAGGCAGCGTGCACTTATGATACGTGAGCAGTAGTTATTCTTTGTTTTTCTTGCTGAAAAGTATATTTTAGAGGTGTGGAAATTAGGCGGGGATGTAAATCAATAATGAATACAGCATTCCTGGTCAATCTAATCCAATACAGTCCACATCGTAAGCAGCCTGGGCTGTAGCCTTTACTGTGAACTCGAATATACTCCAGTGGCGGAACCAACCAGGCTCTGGCGTTTTCCTTTTTGACACATGTCACGAGATTGTGCAACTTCTGTGCTTTGAAGCAGTTTTGACCGGTTTGACGAACTACCACGAGCTCCTTCAAACTTTCAGCTGTGGTTAATTTTAACTCGTTAGTTTGCTTCCTAGTTTTTCAAACATCAAACAGTCAATTTGCTCACCGCGTGGCTCAAAAGTTTTATTTTGGCCAAATGTACCACTTTCTTCATACTTACGGCATACACTCGGAACATTCTGAGCATGTATGGTAAATAAGTTGACTTAACCTTATTTTTCATTTTTTTGCCTCTCGAGGGTTTCTGTGCACAGAGTTTTGCAATGAGACGAGACAGTTACGAAATTTGCTTATAATAATCATAGAAAATCTGGAAATGTCAAGGAATTTGGAAAGATCAAAGTGGTAGACAGCCTGGTTTGGCGAGACTGTACAATCTTGTAAAAACTTAACATCTGGAACAGAGTTTGTGCCACACAAATCAAGATGAAATACGGTATGAACAACGCATGCGATGGCCTGTTCAAGTTTTAATGGCCTGCCCATTACCCTTCAAACATATATCCTTATCATACTGTCCACGAATAACGATAGAAAGGAGCAATTGTGCAGTCATGTGGCCGCTTTTGAGTCTATTGAACGACTGATGGAAGCATGCGACAAAATTAGCGGATTAGTGCAACATTGTTATTTCTTGCACCTAGATATATCTCAGTCTATTGCAGTTATGGCCACTGTTCGATCGTCGTACATCTCGCACCGGCAATGCAACCATATTTTTATCACTGGAGCAGCGCTATGAAAAGAAATATGATCGAGACAATAGCTCTTGCGTGCTGTATTTTTCTAATGGGAATAATGTTTTCAAGAAACTCAAGTATCATTTACAGTCTGCCTTCTTGCTAGCTGAATAATTTGCACAGCCCCATATGGTACTTGCCACCAATAATTGATGTCCTGATGCTGCCCATTATTCCAGTCACATCAGACGTGTTATGCATGTGTTATGAATAATTGCGAATAATTGTGTAAACAGGGGTCGCAAGCCGACATTTCGACTAGTGAATTAGTCATAACTGTAAGTCTGTGTAAGTTGGAATACCTTTGTGATCCAGGAGTGATCAGCAATGTCACCCATGATTTACAGCTCTCACCCAATTTTGCTTCTTGGATGTGTTCTCTGTGCAGCACGCAACCAGATGCAGCACCTGCAGCTTTCAAGCTTTGGCTCCTAGCTGATGCCTGCCCCGAGAACTCGACGATTGTGCGTCGCTCCTTTTAGTGCTTTAGCGTGTATTGGTTCTTAGCTTGCAAAAGTTTTAGCCTGGTCTGTTTGATTGTTAGTTCTCATTAATGATTTCCCGATCTTTTCTGTAATTCACGTGACAGTGCATCACGTGACTACGTGCCCATGTCATTCGTCTGCACGAACATAAATTTCCGTTCCACACATAGGTGGTTCCAGCTTACAACCTAGCTTATAATGTCACTTCGACAATGTGCTCAGTTTTGCCTGCGGAGCACTCCAAGGACCCAACTAGTCATCCACCTGACATTTTATGGTCACGTAGGTTTCAGTACAGTCTAAGGCTAACAATGCTCAAAAGCAGTGCAAAAAATAAACTGACTGGGTCTAAAATAATAACGTTACGAAGTTGTGACGGTGAAGAAGGCTGCAGCAAAACTGGAAAATACAGACCGCTTTTTTTTTAGCAAACTTGTGCCTGAAAAATGATAACTCACTATACAAGCGATGTACACTGATAGTGATAAAAACAGTCATCGAATGTATTCTGATCGTTGGTGAAACTTTTGTATACCTCAGTCATCGATCTTTCCAACATTATGCTGGTGCTCACGTAAGTCCTCAAGTAAGCTTGGGTCCTGTGCGTAATACTGACAGAAGTACGATCACAATAGCACTTTGACTTGGGCGAGTTGGTACATAGATAGGTTTGAGCGCGAATCAGACGGAGACAAAGAATACACACAGACGAGCGCAGTGTGTCTGCCTTGTCTTCGTCTAATTCGCGCTGAAGCCTAACCAAGTACGATCGCAAACTATTGCGGAGATTTTCAAACATTGCAGCATGGTCTTAGCTGAGCACTGCTAGCATCCAAGCTTTGCTAAACCAAATACACCAAAATAAACCAGTAAACACGCGGTATGGTGCCCTCCCCCTCCCCTTTAAAAGCAATCGCCCCGATGCTTAAAACATAAAACGAAAACTCTAAATTTGATTTCATTATGAAATAGCAGTAATAAAGCTAGCAAGAGCTACACTCCTATGCTTTTTTAACGCACACCGAGCAGCCCAAAGCACACAACAGGAACAACTTCAGGTGGTGCTCTGAGCTGCTGAGAGTTCCAAGTGCCATCCGACCCAACATCATAGTCTAGAGCGCCAATACATCAAAGTACCTTGTATGACCCAAGGTATCACTGAAGAAAATTTTTCACTGACACCACGTGAGCTTGTCAGTGTCCACATGCGGACACGGTCACCAGGCATTTTACATGACCTTGGGAAAGTTGTAAGGACAGCTATTGGTCCTTTTCTGGCTCTGGATGCACAGACAGGTGAGTTATCTAGCTTCTGCATGCTGACCGTAGACTGCCACATCAAGCTTTTCTTCATCAGTGACATTGGGTAGCAAAGTGTCGAGCGTGATTATTTATTTATTATTTATTTACATTTCACCTACATCGCCATGAGACATTACTTAGGAGAGGTACACATAATAGTTTGACTATATAGTTTTCAATCGAAACAATAGATACAACAAATAAAACAGCACTCAAAATACTTTAAGAGAAGAAAAAAAAACACACGAATATTGGTAAACGAAAACAACGTCACAGTCATGCATTTGTAAACACCCACACGCTTCGAAACAGCAAACCATCCTTAGTGGCAGTGATATTGTTGGAGTTGTTACAAGAAAGAAAAAAAAGGATTCATTATCAGTTTCATTGACGAGATCATCCAGTAGACGGTTCCATTCCTGTATTGTTTTTACGAAAAAAGAACTACCGAAAGAGTGGGTTTTGTAGCGGTATTTTAATATTTTTCATGAATGGTCTTGATGACTAGAGACGTACGTTGGCGTGAACAGATAATCAAGAGGGTTAATGGCATTTCTATTACAATTTATACAATGAAGAAACTTATGCCTCAGTTTCTGCCTCCTTACCATCAGTGTCTCCCATTTCAATGCTCGTTTCATTTCTGTGATGCTTGCAAAGGAATTATAGTTGTTGCTAACAAATCCGGCTGCTTGGTTTTGAACTTTTTCCAGTGCGTCAATCAAGTATTGCTGATGGGGATCCCAGATTACGCTAGCATAATCTAGAATAGGTCTTGCATACACGAGATAAAGGGTTTGTTTCACGGTCTGCGAAGCTTGCCTAAAATTTCTGCGTATGAAGTATAGCATCCGGCCTGCCTTGGTCACAGTTATGTCAATGTGTTTATTCCACTTGAAATTGTCGGAAAAATAGACGCCCAGATACTTATAATAGGATTCATTGCTAATTATTGAATTATTTATTTCGTATGTTGTGTTTAGTTTACTAATCCGGTTGATGAATGATACACAGCAACATTTACGGATGTTTAGACTCAATTTCCATTTTTGGCACCACGTTGATATTCGGTACAGATCATGCTGCAGAATTTCAGCATCCTTGTGCGATTTAATCACCCTAAACACTACACAATCATCTGCGAATAACTTAATGGGAGAGGTAATACCATCAACTATGCTATTAATATAAACACTATAATCAATCAATCAGTTTATTATTCTTAACAAAAATGAAGTACAATGTGTAATGTTTATACAGTTGGGACCCCAGAAGTCAGCACAAATTGTGGAAGGCGTTCCTATGACAAATAATGTTATTTAAATCGGTCTACAAGGATTCTATGTATAGGTGTATACAGAACAAGACAAACCATTATACAGTGTGTAAAACAAAACTTTAAACTATGCGATATGTAGGAAAATATAAAGAAGAAAAAATTCATGTAAAAGTAGTTGAATGGGATAGCGAAATCCGGCCCCTAGTGTGCCCTTCAGCCGCTAAGTGCATACTTATTAATATGTTTTGTTACACACACAAACGCGCGCAAGTGCGACGTTTCTATAGTAATGCAGTGACTGTGCAGTGCGGCCACTTCGCTCTGCTAGAACGGCGTTCTGCTGTAGCCGAGACACGTTTTTCACAATCTCTAACAGATGGCACACACACGCATGCACGCACGAATGGTACATAAAGGTTTTTGATCTAAAGCAAGATTGGCATGGCCTCCAAGATACACGCCGCGCACTTGCAATCTCAGAGGCCATAAAAAGTCTCGCAATGCCTCACAGATTGCAGCGCATTATTTAACGTTTGTTGTTTGCTTGATCAACGCCTCTGGAAAGGCATGATACGTTTTTCGCTAGGTGGACATAGTTGTCTATATTTAGAGCTGTGTGAAAGTTCCTGTGTGTTTTTAGGGGTGATGGCTGCACTATCTGAGCCTTTTTCGATGTAGTTTGATGGCCTCCCAAATGCGCCTACAAATCGCCAAAAGGGTTTTCATCGTGACACCTGTACATGGCATTTATCTAGTGTTTTTCCCGAAGCAGCTGCAAGTAACATTGTGGCTTTGTAGTAGGACACCTGCTTGCCACAATGAAACAAAGAATTTTATTCTTTATTTTATTTGCTTTTTTCTTGATTTTTCGCTCACAACCAGCGGTGCAAACGGCGGAATTTTTGCGACAGGAGCTCTCTAATGGTATCGCGTTAAAACATCCTATACGAACGCATATGTGAAACAAAAGAAATCGTTATACAGTGAGTAAAAAGAAACTATGCACAGCTCTAAAGAAAATTAAAAGACAGAATGGTGAATGATACATAAAACACGAATAAAATGAAGTTGCTTTTTTTAGAAAGTACTGGCCCAGTGAGTTAGATAGATGCTCAATGGATGATGAAGTGATTTCTGTAGGAAAGGTAGACTCAAGACTAACTGCAGTATTTATAAAAGAAAATGCCCCATAGTTTGGGCAAGCACGTGAAATTGCAAACATTGTTAACTAAGAGGAATGTATTGGATAATGCAGCGGTAAAATTGGATTATGCAGCGGTAAAATATTTAGTAAGGGATAAGCAAATGGTATAAATTCAATACGCTGGGAAAAACAAATTATTCAGAAAACAATATTTTGAGCTAGCTCCGCCACGGTGGTCTAGTGGCTAAGGTTTGTTAACACACAGCGAGCAGCCTAAAGCACACAACAGGAATAACTTCAGGAGTTGCTCTGAGCTGCTGAGAGTTCCTAGTGCCATCCAACCCAACATCATAGTCTAGAGGGCCAATACATCAAAGCACCTTATGACCCTAGGTATCCCTGAAGTTGTTCGTGGCTGCTGACCCGCAGGTCGCGGGAGTCAATCCCGGCTACGGCGGCTGCCTTTCCAATGAAGGCGGAAATGCTATAGGCCCGTGTGCTTAGATTTCAATGCACGGTAAAGAACTCCAGGTGGTCGAAATTTCCAAAGCCCTCTGCTACGGCATCTCTCAGAATCATATGGTGGTTTTGGGACGTTAAACGCCACATATCAATCAGTCAGTATTTTGGGCTACCTGAATTGGCTGTAATGTCATTCAATATGTGAGACCTTAGACTGAAATACGATGACATATATGCGAACTACGAAGTACGACGGAAGTTGCGTGACGTTGGCAGTTTGCTTGCAAAGTGGGGGTGTGCGCTGTAGAACGGTCACCAATGTTGTCCACTGTTCTTGTATTTAGGTCGTCGTCGCTGGCACTGCTGCAAACTGTTTGTCAGTTTGCAGCAAGTTGCGACGACGGTTGCGCCTGAGGACCTGCTGGTGCTCTGTTGTGACCAAGTAGGACCTTGCATACCTCTTACCCATCGCTTGAGCTTTTCGGGACCATGCGGTGTTTCTATCCTCACGGTGGTACCCTTCTGCATAGGAGGCAGAGGTCTTCCTCCGAGGGTTTCACGGTACTTCATGACGTCAGCTGCAGTCGCCGCACTAACGTCTAGAAGATTGGCGCAAGAAGGCGCCTTCCTTGTGGTAGTTCCCTCAGGGATCACCCGCACTCCAGTGGGGCAGAGCAGTAGACCAGTAAGCCTAGCCAGAAGTCTCCCAAATCTGCAGTTTTTTTCTAAATGCTCTTCATTCACAACCTGCACACTGTTTTCTGCAAGCCCATTTGACTGCAGATAATGAGGGCTTGAAGTGACGTTCGTGAAGTCGTATTTTTTTTAAAACAAGAGAAATGCATGGCTGGAATATTGAGGGCCGTTATCAGTACAGACTTCGATGGGCACACCAAATCTAGCAAAAATAGCACTGAATGCTGCAACGGTTGATCGTGCCAACGTGTCAGATAGTTTTTCAACTTCCGGAATGTTAAATAAGGCGTCACGAACTACAACGCACGAGTCACCCGCAAACAAAAAAAGATCAGCTGCAGCTGCATTTGAAGTGGTTCCTTCAGCTGTTTGTAAGCATACGTGCGGCATGCAGGAGAAATTTGCATCATAGACACGATCACGGCGTTAAATAGGCACTAAAGTCAAATAACAATTTACGTCAGAGTGAAAGCTAAATCTATGACTACATCTATAACGACAATATTACCAACAACAGTGCACTACTTACCGAGAAATTGGTGTAAATGCACAAGAACACAAGCCCCACAGTAGGACATTTTCGAAATGATCCCGATGACATCAGACAGACCGCCTACAATTAA